TTCTCTTTTGGGGGTAGTTGGATTTATGGTGCACTCTTTAGTCATTACCAGTTAAATCTATTCATGTTGTGTTGGTAATTTAATATGACATTTTAACAACACGTGAAAGGATAAAAATGTGACTAGCGAGCTCTCCCTTTTTTGGTTCACATTTATAATAGTGATGCTGAGATAATTTTGGACCTGTTAATTTTATATTTGCAATAAAAAATATATATGTTATGATATTTTTTTTAAAAATTTTGTAAGAATACGTATTTTTAGTTAGAAATCAAATACGACTATTTTGTTAGTCAAACTGACAACAATTTTGCGTATGATATGTATAAAGATGGAATTTTTTTTCGAGAGATTCATATTATGAGTTATTTTGGCTATTAGGCGGGTTGGTGTACTTTAAGGACAAATCAACTTTTATTTATACTACTATTTAATCGTCATTTTACAGGATTTTTATAAATAAATATCCATATTAAATATATGAATACAAAATTAAAAACAAAATTGATGTTATTCATCACCTAACCATTTTTAGCTATTAATGATTCATTACCTAACAAAATTGACATTAACTAAAAATATCTTTTTAAAAATTCACCTTACGAACACCTTTTCAAAATTACTAAAACTCGTACAATTTATCTTTTAAAATATACTTTAGTTGAATGAATTATTATAAAAATAAATTATGACTTAAAGACTTACAATTCCATAAAATCCCGAAATCGTATATAGAAAGTATAGTCCATATAGACCACAAATACGGAATAAAATGATGGGACGTCCGAATATAACGTGCACCAACCATTACAGAATACATATATCGTTGCAACTTTTGGCTTCAAATAACACACTGACACACATTACACATAGCCATTGCTTAATTATTTATTTATTTATTTTTTTTATGGTTTTTATAAAAAGAAATAATTATTTTCATTGACTTATTCACTTACCCACGTCAAAAACGACCCTCAATTAAAAATACTCACTTATTTTCCATTGCTTAATATCACATAGATTGATAGTGTACTATTGGATTGCGATAAGATAAATCCACCAACGCCATAAGACAAACACCAAATTTAGATGTGATTGCAAACAACGGTTTTTTTTTTTTTTATTTGATGCTTTTTAATATGCTGTGATATTGACTCGTTCCACGAGATGTAATACATTTTTCTATTATTAATTTTAGAAAATAAATTATATACTAAACGAATTAATATCGTCTCTATTTACTTCTTCTTTTTTCTTTAGTTCTTACATAATGAACCTGTATTATATCTACATAATCGTATTTTGACTTCTTCGATGTATGAAATTCTCGTATAGAATTTGCATTGAACTTCGTCTACCTAGCTAAAAGCTTAAATCAAATTTTTTTAATAAAAAATTTAGACCAAATCTATTACAATATTAAATATTGTACTTCCACCTTTCTATACTTTATTTTAATATGTTTGCAGTCTTATTAGATTTTTAACCACTTTTAATATTAATATTTTTTTACGTATTAAAAATTATTCAAATAGCAAATTGAAAACATATACTAGTATTTTTAAATGACACATATATATGTAGTTTGGGCATGGCTTTAGCTTACCATAATAATAGCTTTGATGTTATCCCTCGTGAGCTTAATCGAGCCTTGCAAATCCCCACCTTCCGAAACCTTGGCCACGTCATCACCCCCATAAAACGCCAGCAGCTCGTCCACCATGTCCGAATCACCATTGGGCCCGGCCCGGCCCAATCCATTCTTCCTCTCTATATGTTCATCAATAATACTGTCAATAAACCCGTCCAGCAAATCCCGGGCCTTCACCAGCCTCTTGTTCAGCCCTTGCAGGTCCATACGGTCCACCCACGGCACGAAATCCGCCAGATTAAAAGCCCCGAAAAGCTTCGAAAACTCCTGAAGAATCGATATAAAATCGTCCTGCCCGTCTTCTGAGCTCGACCCGAATGCGGCCCGGTATATAATATTCCTAGTAAGCCCGAAAACGAGCTCGCCTACGTTAACGGGCCTTCCCGCGCTACCCCCCACGGCCCGAACCATGCGGTCCACCTCGTCCCGAACCGAAGCCCAAGACTCGGCCCGTTTGCGGCTGAAGAGCTTGATGACGCAGAGCTTGCGCATCTGGCGCCAGAAGGGCCCGTAGTGGGCGAAGGCCATGTCGGCCCGATTGTAGGTTAGGTAGCTTATGGCGATGTTGGCGGGCCTGTTGGAGAAAATGTTGTCGTGGGCCTGGAGGACTTGGCGGGCCGCGTCTGGGCTTTGGATGGCGACCACGTGGAGGAAGCCCATGCGGAGGTGGAGGATGCCGCCGTAGTGCTTGGCGAGATTGGCGAGGCCGCGGTGGGTGAGTTGGTCCATCATGGTAATGTTGCCGATAATGGGCCAGCCTTTGGGCCCGGGCGGGTAGGGTTTGCGGCGGGATTTTGATAGGGCTAAGAAGAAGAGGAGCGGGATTGTGAAGAGGATTAGGAGTGGTTTGGATTCTAGAGCTTGGAATATGGCTGCAGCCATTTGTTTTTCCATTGATTGGTTTTTGCTCTAGTGGTTTGTGCAAGTGTTTTGCACAAATGAGAGAAAGTGTCAAAGTGGGAAGTTTAATTAAGATATTTTTTTTTTTTGTTTTTTTTCTTTTCTTTGGGAGTGCAATCTAGTTTTTTCATGCGGTTGTGTGAGGACTTTAAATAAGAGTTTGCGGGCTGTGGTAAAAGTTTGGTTTTGGATTTCACATTACATTTTCAATCATCGACATTGACACATCTTGTGAAGTCTTCGTATTTCGAGTAATATATATTACTTAATATATATCACTAAGACTTGAATATTTCAGCTTTGAAGGATAATTTTGTGGACAAGATCAATGCTTTAAGTAACAATACTGGTGGTCGTATCGGTCTAGTCATTGGTAAGCGGCATTATCGGTCGCACCGATAATACTGGTGGTATATATTGTCGGACTAACTAATATAATGATATATATAAATATATACAAAAATGTATAATACCAAATGCCAAAAAGTAATAAATGACCATATATTCTAACTAATTAATTTCAACTACCAATTTAAATATTATGTTTTTATTTGTTGACCGATATTTTGAACCGATATTTTTCGATATTTATGGTATGATCCTGATACAAATTGGTGTAACTGTAAATCCAGTATTTTGTATGTAATTGTATCGTACCAATGACTGGTATGGTACAGTACGGTATTTTAATCATTGGACAAGATTATTGATTGAAAACATGAAACTCGATATTATATATATACACACATGTTACGTTTATTGGTTTGAAATTATATGGGCCAAAATTCATGGTCATATGTCCATTTTTATCTACACTATTGAGAAAATCGTGACGTGGCGCCCAATCAGATACATTTACGATTTTTTCGCGTGATGTGACACCTTCACTGCCAAGGGAAAATAATAAATAGATTAAATTAAAAAAAATAAACCAAAAATTAGATTATGACAAAGTGGAAATAAGCCAAAAATTAAAACCAAAGTGGAAAAAAACCACGATTTAGCCACTCGTTTTGCACAATATCCGACCAACTTGTTGAACCCGCGCCTACACCGCGGTGATTCGGTGCCCTGAGGAGCGTCAAAAAGGGTGGAGTATGGACCGAAAATGGAGACCGGAAGCCTCCAACATGAAGTCGTCGTATTGGGTGGAGGACCCCTTGCTCCGGACGGCTTCCAGTAGTTGGGCTCTCGAGCCTTTCTTGTAAGTCCAATAAAGCACCCACTCATCCAACTATACAGACAAAATCAGGAAAATTACCCAACAGAACAAGAATTTCTTCCCATCACAACTGACTGACAACGTTTGAATTTGAGGTTAAAAANAAAAACCTTGGCGTTGCTATTCTTGCACGGGGCCGCCCTCGTCGTGGGCGATTAGGTTGCGTCCCAGAAGAAGGCGTGGAGGCTCCGAAAGTCTTGATTTCGAAGATGGTGGGCTTTGTTTGGTGTGCGACCTGAGGAGTTTGGAGCTGTCATCGAATTTGGGCGGGTCCCTGAATCGCCGGAAAATTGAAGAAGAAGACTGAATTTTGACTTAAATTTTCTAGATATAAAAACTTTGCCCGGAACAATTGACGGCCTTATAGGTGGAATTTTCGTCCGAAAATTTAAGAGGGTGAACAAGGACGGTAAGAGCTTCAAGATGATTTCAAAATATTTACAATCGGAGGTGTTTGGTCGGCAGCCCACAGACGTCGACAGTGAGCGGCAGAGGCTTGATTTTGAAAATTTTGGAATTGCAGGGCTCGTTATTGAAAATTTAATAAGTTCTATGGATACTTTGAACTCCTGCGTGTGCATCGCACTGGATACTTTTTTAGTAATTTTTTTCTTACAACATAGTTTCTTGGGAGCTTTCTTTAAAAATTCCCAATCCCTAATTAAACTTCCAAGTCAGTCCCTCCTCATAATCTTTATCTATTTTACTCCCTACTCCCTTAATCATCTTCCATTTAAATCCCTCCTATTAAAAAAAATAACAAAGAAATTTATATATGACATCATCCCACTATCTACATTATTAAATTATTTTTGTTACCTAAAATCCTTCTTCCTCACTCTTCTTCCTCATTCTTCTTTCCCGCTGTTTTCTTCTTCACCGCCGGCGTGTAATTTCTTTTTTTCGCAGCTTCATCTCGCCGACGAATACAAACCGGACCCTGGGGATTTTTCCAGAGGCAACAAATCCGACGACATTAAGGCTTTTTCTGGTCGAAAATCCCTGTTTCTACGGCCAAAAATTTCTATCTCTCTGTTCGAAAATTCTTATTTTTCCGGCAAGATTGTGATTTTTTCCGGCGAAAACTTGAAGTAGTAAGTAATATATGTATTATATGAGAAGTTTGGAGTCCAAAAATCATCTTTAATTCATGTATTTTTGTTTGATTTGGGAAGGACTGAATTTTAAATATTGTTGTTTATATTTACCCTAAAACAAATAAAGTGAATCGCCGGAAAATTGAAGAAGAAGACTGAATTTTGACCTAAATTTTCTAGATACAAAAACTTTGCCCGGAACAATTGACGGCCTTATAGGTGGAATTTTCGCCCGAAAATTTAAGAGGGTGAACAAGGACGATAAGAGCTTCAAGATGATTTCAAAATATTTACAATCGGAGGTGTTCGGTCGGCAGCCCACAGACGTCGACAGTGAGCGGCAGAGGCTTGATTTTGAAAATTTTGGAATTGCAGGGCTCGTTATTGAAAATTTAATAAGTTCTACGGATATTTTGAGCTCCTGCGTGTGCATCGCACTGGATACTTTTTTAGTAATTTTTTTCTTACAACAAAGTTTCTTTTACAAATTGCCAATTCTT